CTCTCCCAATTGGTCACTAAAAGGTTACCTTGAACCTCTCCTCTTCCTTACAAGGTGTAAAGCTCTGTTTACTGACCCTCCTCCTTTCTCCATCTATTATGCAGGCTCTTTGCTGCTAAATATTAGATCTCTCTTTTAAAACCACAGCACACCCTCATCTCATTGGGCTTCGCCGCTCTGCAATCAGGGGGGAATGTTTTCTACTCCAGCAAAGCAAATGTTGACTGTCTCAGTTGCCTGTGGGACTGAAGGGGGGTGGAATATGCAGAGGCACCCAAAGCGACAATAAAGTCAAACGTGGGCTGTGATGTTGTCACATTTAGATATTTGCTCCATTTTTCCTCTTTTGAATCCTCCTAGAGAACTCTGACTCATGAATCTTAAGCAGGGCGATGGACGTGCCTCGCATTATTTTTGCTCGCCTCTGGACTCGCGGATCCATTCAAGTCAGAGAAAATAAATATTGTGATACTTGGCAGCGGATCTCCTTGCGGCTTTGATGCCCTTTGAAATCTTCTAACTTTCATACCAGAAAGAACAATGGCTTGCAGTGTGAAGGCCACAAAAACATCAACTCTGATGTATGCAAGGCTTATCAGTCCATGTTTTGGTGGAGACGGGGGAGGAAAAAAACATTGATTATGTCTTCAAAGGATGAGGCTTCATGTTTTTTGTCAGTAAAGATTCATCTCTGGAAAGCGGACTTTCAAAATGGGTCAGCCCCTTTCTTTGCTCAGAACTTCTGACATCATAATAAATGTTGCCAACTGTTCCAAAAGGTCCATATTGCTGTGCCTTTAACAAATATTGGAAAATTATAATGTCTGCATCCATGCTGTGATGAGTTTCAGCTTCTGGTTTTTGAACACCAGGCTGCTTTCAAAGGTGTAGGAGCAGACTAGGTCATTATTTCTGGTCAGCTGGCAGCCCTAGTAGTCATTAAAGGTAAAGGTACCCCTAATCATTAGGTCCAGTCGTGACCGACTCTGGGGTTGCGGTGCTCATCTCACTTTATTGGCAGAGGGAGCTGGCGTACAGCTTCTGGGTCATGTGGCCAGCATGACTAAGCCGCTTCTGGTGAACCAGAGCAGTGCACGGAAACGGCGTTTACCTTCCCGCCAGAGCGGTACCTATTTATCTACTTGCACTTTGACATGCTTTCGAACTGCTTGGTTGGCAGGAGCAGGGACTGAGCAATGGGAGCTCACCCCATTGCGGGGATTCGAACCACCGACCTTCTGATCGGCAAGTCCTAGGCTCTGTGGTTTAACCCACAGCACCACCCGCGTCCCTTTCTAGTAGTCATTGCTCTTGAGTTAATTGAGTCCGGGCACTTAAAAAAAAGAGCTGGATAACTTTTAATGAAAGAGATCGAGAAGTTCCATCACGGTAGTTGGTTTAGTTTTTGCCTAGGATTCCCCTCGCAGCTGCGGCCAACTCCTCCCCCTGCTTGAGGTTCCTGTGCTTTTTAATAGCTACGAAGCTCTGCCAAATTATCCTTGGTCATCCTTTACTCTGCGTTAAGTCTTGGGAAAGCACTAGAACGATAATGAACTTCAAGCGCTTTTTTCAAACAGGCTGGCTTCCCAGACCACTGCCTGAAGAACAGAGTGGCCTCAGGCATGCGGAAGGCAGCGGTGCCGGCTTTAAAATTAGCATGCACTGCCTCCCCAAAAACCTTAAATCAATGCCCCCCTCCCTATCTGCCATTCTATTGATATTTTGAAATATTTGTTGTCGCTTGTACAACTTGTATGCAGTGAGATTACATGAGCAACACCCCACTCAGCTCTCTTAAGTCTTAATTCCTCTCGTTTACTGACACACACCTACCAAACCCGAAAGTCAGTTGCCCTGTTGTTATCTTTTCATTCAACAGCCTAACAGCCCACAGATAGAAGCTGTTCTTTACCCTGTTGGTGCAACTAATCATACTTCTATATCTTCTGCCTGAGGGCAGGAGATCAAGAAAGTTCCGGCCAGGGTGTGAATCATCCCTGATAATTTTCCTCACTCTCCTGAGGCAACGTTCTTCCACTGTTTTGTCCTGCGGATTCACAGGACAGCCCATAATATCTTGTGCTGTAGTCACCACCCTCTGTAGGCATTTCCTATCAGTTGATGTCAAACCAGCTTACCACACCATGATGCAGTGTTAAAGGACACTTTCTATTGTGGACCAGTAGAAGGAGATCATCAAATGTTGATTGACATTTCTACTTGAAACAGAAGTATCTGATCACCGTGATGGATATTTGGATATACAGCTGGCCAGTGCTGCATCAACCCAGGCGTAGGTTTCCCCACCTCTACGCTTAACGATTTCCCACATATTCATAAATGGCCTAAACTCTGCTGAACTACAAAATGTAGGGCAGTGATGTGGAACTGGATTTGGCAAGATGCTTCCTCCAGCTCCCTCAGCTCCAGGTTGCCAGGGCTTTTGCTGCGCACGGCCCTCTCCAAGCCATACCCACCAACATTTCTCTGATGAAAACAGGTGTGCTCTATTCAATAATAATTATTAAAATAATAATAAAATAATAATTTTACTCTTTAGACCCTGCCCATCTGACTGGGTTGCCCCAGCCGCTCAGGGTGGCTTCCAACATATATAAAAACATAATTAAACATTAAACATTAAACAAAACTTTTCTATACAGGACTGCCTTCAGATGTCTTCTAAAGGTTGTATAGTTACTTATCTCTTTGGCTCGGTGTGTCGCATAACTCCATACCCTCCAACATTTCTCCAATGAAAATAGGGACATCCTAAGGAAAAGGGGACGTTCTTCGTTTCATTATATATCATTTCCCCAAAGCCTTTAGCTTTTTTGCATGTCCACCACCAGAGTGGATTTGATTTAAATCAAATCGATTTAAATCACGATTTAAATCACTACTCAGTAAGACTTGATTTAAATCCTTTTTTTTACAGAAAGACTCGTTCTTGCTGGTATAATCTTAATATTTACAATCAGATGAAGGTTTCATTTTTGGAATAATAAATTTTCAGAGTAGTATTTACAGTTATATCAAAAATTACTGATTTGGTTATACCATTAGAAATACATAGACAGATAATTATGAAATTATTGTGAGGTTTAATAAGTTAACTGTTTATATTAGGACAACTTTTCTGCTATCCTTTATTGGAAGGAGAAAAATAATCATTTCCCTTAATAACAATTTAAACAATTTATTTAACTAAAACAATAACATTATAGCATATGTATCCATGTTTGTTAAGTGATGTGGTTAAACAATTTTTTTAAAAAACAAAAACCTTGGACTGAGTTTTAGTACACATGAAAAACTTAAACTAAATCCTTATTTCCTGATGAATAGCCTTTGGACTATAATGTAACTTAAATAGAAAACTATATTTAGAAAGATTTTTCATCCAAAAGCATTTTATTTTAAAAATCCAATTTAAATTTTTAAAAATCTGATTTAAATAAAAAAAATCATTGATTTTTATCCACCCTGTCCATCACATATGGAAGAATGGCCCATCTATCTGCTTACATTTCCAGCATGGAGAAAGGCTCCTGAAATATGTTAGCAAAGGTACCAAGTGGATGTTGCAAAGGAGAATATTGCACAGATGGGGAGGCACACTTGAAAAGGCCCTCTCCCTACTTTCCAAGACTTTCTCAGATGGGGATGCTGGGAAGAGCCTCACATGAACATCTAAGGGCTCAGGTAGGTTCGTGTAGGGAGAGGCATTCCAGAATGGTGTAGTTCTGTGTTTATTGACTCCTAGCAAACCTTCCTATCCATTCTTAAGGAAATCAGCCCTGAGTGCTCACTGGAAGGACAGATCGTGAAGCTGAGGCTCCAATACTTTGGCCACCTCATGAGAAGAGAAGACTCCCTGGAAAAGACCCTGATGTTGGGAAAGAGAAGGGGATGACAGAGGATGAGATGGCTGGATAGTGTTCTCGAAGCTACCAGCATGAGTTTGACCAAACTGCGGGAGGCAGTGGAAGACAGGAGTGCCTGGCGTGCTCTGGTCCATGGGGTCACGAAGAGTCGGACATGACTAAATGACTAAACAACAACAACAGCAAACCTTCCACTCCTGCTTTGCTATCTTCTCTTTGGTTTCCTCCACAGCTACCTACAGCACCTAGAGGGGAAATACCCGGATGTGGATAGAGTTATCAAAGCCGCAGTCTAGAGCAGCAGAACAGTTATAGCTGACAGCATTATTGGCTGAGTTTTGATCTGAGCTGTGTCTAATTATCCTTTCTTTTTGGGAGAACAGCTGCTATGTTGTGTATGTATATGGCTACTTTCCCCCCTTTTCCTTTTTTTTTATATGAGACAAAATTGCCTGGAGCCAAAAGTTGGCACACTTTTTAATACACACGCTGTCGATGAAGGGGGAGGAGTAATACTAAGTAGTGAGAGAGTTCCCTGAAAGCAAAATTATTCTTTCTTTTTACAAACCACAGAAAACAATTTTCAAAGGCCTGTGGCACACTGCCCCCAGTTGTGCACACAAGGTGTGCTTATTATATAGCCTGTGTTCTTTAAAATACCATATATTATATAGGTACACTCAGGGTCACAGCCATAGCATACCATATTTTTCCATGGATAACACGCCCCCGTGTATAAGACAACATCTCTTTTTTGGAGGAAATGGAGGGAGATTGCCCAGATTGTTAAGCTTTTTTGGGGGGGGGGATTCCTCAGACTTGTTGAGATTTTTTTTTGGGGGGGGGTGCCAGCAGCTGCCAATCTCCCGCCCAATTGCCGCAGCAGCCAATCGACAGCAGACCCTGCCGCAGCCCCCAATCACCCGCCCAAACGCCGCTGACAAAATCCCCTGCTCATGGCAGCCACCAATTGCCCATCCGACCTCTGCACTATCCGTGTATAAGATGACCCACAATTTTTAGCATTTTTTTAATAATTAAAAAACCCTCGTCTTATACATGGGAAAATACGGTACATTTAAAGGACATGGTTTGTCCCCCAAAGAATCCTGGGAGCCTTAGCTCACCCCTCCCAGAGCTTCAGTTTTCAGCAGCCATAGCAAACTACAGTGTCTAGGGTTCCTTGAGGGAGGCTGTGTGTTTTGAATGCCATGGTGTGGGTATGATCTGTGGGGAAGGGCAATAGATCAGTGGTAAAGTGGATGTTTCACAAGCAAAAAGTCTGAAGTTCAGCTCCTAGTACAGTGGTAATAATAATAATAATAATAATAATAATAATAATAAATTTTATTTATATCCCGCCCTCCCCAGCCTTAGCCGGGCTCAGGGCGGCTAACAACAATAAAACAGTACAAAAGTACAGCATAAACAACACTCTAAAATCATTCATTATAAAATTAATTATTTCAAGCCACTGGCAACCATTGGGCCAGAGCTCCGCGAAGATTGCCGAGGGAGGGAGTCAGGATGTGCCCTGGCCAAAGGCCTGGTGGAACAGCTCTGTCTTGCAGGCCCTGCGGAAAGATGTCAAGTCCCGCAGGGCCCTGGTCTCTTGTGATGGAGTGTTCCACCAGATCGGAGCCACAGCCGAAAAAGCCCTGGCTCTAGTTGAGGCCAGCCTAACTTCTCTGTGGCCTGGGACCTTCAAGATGTTTTTATTTGAAGACCATAAGTTCCTCTGTGGGGCATACCAGGAGAGGCGGTCCCGTAGGTACGAGGGTCCTAGGTTAAGTACTTAATTCGTTCCAGAGGTCTGTATGTAACCTGAAACTGTTCTTAACCTGAAGCACCACTTTAGCTAATGGGGCCTCCTGCTGCTGCCGCGCCGCCGGAGCCCGATTTCTGTTCTCATCCTGAAGCAAAGTTCTTAACCTGAAGCACTATTTCTGGGTTAGCGGAGTCTGTAACCTGAAGCGTATGTAACCTGAGGTACCACTGTATCTCATGATGGGGTGAGGGGATCCTGTCCAGAATACTGGAGAGCGGCTTGAAGTCAGTGTAGACAATAGTGAGCCAGGTGGATGACTGCTCTCAGATTTATTGATTGATTTAATTTATTTCTCACATTTATACCCCACCTTTCCCCCAAGGAGCTCAAGATAGTATGCATAATTCTCCTTCTCCCCATTTTATCCTCTGCTTCAGGTTATCCTGACAACAAGTAGTGACTGGTCCCAGAGCTTCATGGCTGTGTGGATGATTTGAACCCTAGTCTCCTAGGGTGGAGTCTCTTGGACACCATCAGCACCGGCTAGAACAACCAATGGTAAGGAGATGATGATGATGATGATGATGATTATTATTAATAATAATTTATTTATACCCCGCCCTTCCCGGTTCAGAAAACCGGGCTCAGGGCGGCTAACAACAAATTTAAAATACTTAATTGTAGAAGCAGCATAAAATACAGTATAAAAACATGAATAACAATAAAATTCAAAGTTCAGAAATCAAATTGGGGGAAATCCATCTAATAAGCATTAGATAGTCACCAGGGCTAGCTGGCTGAATTAGTCCTACTTGGGCCAGCGAGAAGGCCAGGGGAGAATTAGCTGTGGGGTCTCAGAGTGGGTAATCTTCATAAAAGGGGAGGGGGAGGGAAGAGAAGGGAAATAAAAGATCAAACTGAATTCAAATTAAAGGCCAGGCGGAATAGCTCTGTCTTACAGGTCCGACAGAAGGAGGTTAAATCCTGAAGGGCCCTGGTCTCATGGCACAGAGCATTCCACCAGGTCGGAGCCATCACTGAAAAGGCCCTGGCCCTGGTGGAGGATAGTCTGACTTCCTTAGGGCCCAGGACCTTTAAACTATTTTTTATTCATGGACCTTAAGGTCCTCTGCAGGGCATACCAGGAGAGGCGGTCCCATAAATACTTGGACTACAGCTGTTTTTGGACTACAGTTCCTATCATTCCTTACCACTGGTCCTCCTAGCCAAGGATGATGGGAGTTGTAGTCCAAAAACCACTGGAGACCCAAGTTTGGGAAACCCCGATCTAGTGGGTTGGCTCCCCTGCTTATATATTAAAGTACATTCCAACCCGACAAAACTTAACGGTTTCTACAACTCTCTTTCTCACACACCCTTTCTGCATCTCTCCACGACGTCTGGGCTGTACCCTGTTATAATCTTTTTAAGCCACCGGCCCATTTGATATCGGTGCACTAGATATCACTGCACACACAAAAAGCCCCCCGAAAACTCCTTATTTATGTTTAAATGGTCTCCTACGTCAACGCTGCTCCGCAGACCATCAATCCACAGAAGCTCTTAGCCGAATGAAAGGAACGGCTTCGCGCTCCCAGCCACTCTCCGCTTGGAATTCTGCCAAAGGCATGATTGCAGAAACAAATCATTTTAACCTCAGCATTTTTGGTTTCGAGAAAGATCTCCAAGTGGCACAATAGTCTCCGTCTCCCTATAACAGCAGGCGCAGCTGTGGCCTCTCCCCCTTAGCGCTCGCTCCCCCCATGGGAGTCTTCGAAATGCGCACAAGACAATACTAAATACGTTCGCAGCACCGGTGTGGGAGCCAAAAGAGAGGCAGGCATAAATTGCCATTGGCTGCAGATGATGTCCTTTTCATCTAGTGCTCAGCTAGGATGACTTCACTGGCACTATAATAAATTGTCAAGACCAGGGGGCTAGGGAGCAAGTGAGATCATCTTCCAGGAATCAGAGCCTCCTGCTTGGGCAATGGTTCTTCAGTGCCCCCTTTTCAACTGGAAGTGACAGGCACATAACCTCTTGTTTTTTACACACATATATTTCTCTCTCTCTACTATTTGGGGGTGGAGGCTATGTACACATTAGTGACTTGAAACATGGTGAGGTCATTCTCTCTCCCCCCCCCTTACATTTCAACTCGCATTATTACTTTCCTGTACACAGCGGAGAGAGGACAAGGGTGTCGTCACCCAGTATGAATAACTTGATTTGTTGTCCCCACCCCACCCGCAAGACCTTCAGCTCCACTTCTCATCTGGGCACCCAGTAGAGCATGAGACTCTTAAATCTCAGAGTCGTGGGTTTGAGCCCCACATCGGGTGAAAGATTCCCGCATTGGACTAGATCAGTTTTGGCCAAACTTGGGTCTCTAGCTGTTTTTGGACTACAACTCCCATCACCGCTAACTAACAGGACCAGTGGTCAGGGATGATGGGAATTGTAGTCCCAAAACAGTTGGAGACCCGAGTTTGGCCAACATTGGACTAGATGATTCCCAGCTGCTGTTGGACTACAACTCCCATCATCCCTGACCACTGGTTCTGCTAGCTAGGGATGATGGGAGTTGTAGTCTAACAACAGCGGGGGACTCGAGTTTGGGAAACACTGGCTTAACTGCAGCTGACGTTTTCAAATGGGATGGAAGCTGGTTTGAGGGGAAATTTATCAGCAGTACTTCTCAAGAAGTGACAGGATGCGATGGATTGTGGCTACAGTCATGTGTAAAGGTAAAGGTAAAGGGACCCCTGATCATTAGGTCCAGTCGTGGCTGACTCTGGGATTGCAGCGCTCATCTCGCTTTACTGGCTGAGGGAGCCGGCGTACAGCTTCCGGGTCATGTGGCCAGCATGACTAAGCCGCTTCTGGCGAACCAGAGCAGCGCACGGAAACGCTGTTTACCTTCCCGCCGGAGCGGTACCTATTTATCTACTTGCACTGTGTGCTTTTGAACTGCTAGGTTGGCAGGAGCAGGGACTGAGCAACAGGAGCTTACCCCATTGCGGGGATTCGAACCGCCGACCTTCTGATCGGCAAGTCCTAGGCTCTGTGGCTTAACCCACAGCGCCACCCGCAGAGCCCAAGAAAATGGCAACATGTCCACAGTCTAAGAAGCCTGATGACTTGCAGGGGTGGCCTCCATGTTGCCTTTATGTGTCCTAGCAATGTGTTGTCAAGAGGCAGATGCTAGTCTGAGAAATCACCCTGGGGCTGAAGAGTAACTCAACAACAGCTTCACAAGTTGTTCACTCCGTCATGGACATACCGTGTTTTTCGCCCTATAGGACACACTTTTCCCCCTCCAAAAATGAAGGGGAAATGTGTGTGCATCCTATGGGGCGAATGCAGGCTTTCGCTGAAGTAATAAACAAATCCTGGAGGCTATGCCCCAAACACTCTCGTGGCCTATTTTTGCTGAATGTGTGCGTGGTCTACTTTCCCCATCTGTGAGTGCTGCTGGAGGCTGAACCCCTTCCTAAAAAAACATTCCTGTGATCCAGGAACAACCAGCCACTTCTGAACATAATATTCTTTCTCTCCATAACTGAACAGGAAGAGGGTATTCCCTCCACAAGCCCTAGTTTGGTGTCATCTGCAAATTTGAAAGCTGGAGTCCAATAACACCACATGTAGCATTAGAAGCTGGCATGATGCCTCTTTCTAAGGTACTTTTTTGGAAGGAGTCGTTGATCTTTGCTTCCCAACACTGGAAATGCAGATGAACTGTTTCTCCCCCTTGTTCAGCTGACACAGTGCCCGATATAAGTATACCAGGAATACGGGCAAAAGTCCTAAGACAAAGCATTATCCTCATGGACTTCCCGACAGCTTGACTGTTACAAAGCGATTTATCTCAAAGATGTTATGCCTGTACTTTGTTGGACATTTCGTTGAATGCTACAGACAGGAGTGAAGAAGATATCTGGGTGAGTTAAAGGTAAAGGTAAAGGGACATCTGACCATTAGGTCCAGTTGTGACCGACTCTGGGGTTGAGGCACTCATCTCGCTTTATTGGTCGAGGGAGCCGGCGTACAGCTTCCGGGTCATGTGGCCAGCATGACTAAGCTGCTTCTGGCGAACCAGAGCAGTTCATGGAAACGCTGTTTACCTTCCCGCCGGAGCGGTACCTATTTATCTACTTGCACTTTGATGTGCTTTCGAACTGCAGGGTGGGTAGGAGCAGGGACCGAGCAACGGGAGCTCACCCCGTCGCAGGGATTTGAACCGCCGACCTTCTGATCGGCAAGTCCTAGGCTCTGTGGTTTAACCCACAGCGCCACCCGCATCCCTCTCTGGGTGGGTTACGCACCCACAAAATGACTGAGGCTGAAAGGTAAAAAAGTAAAGGACCCCTGAACAGTTAGGGCCAGTCAAAGATGACTATGGGGTTGCAGTGCTCATCTTAATTCAGGCCAAGGGAGCTAGTGTTTCTCCACAGACAGCTTTCTGGGTCATGTGGCCAGCAGGACTAAACTGCTTCTGGTGCAATGGGGCACCATGACGGAAACCAGAGCGCACAGAAACGCCGCTTACCTTCTCACTGCAGCGGTACCAATTTATCTACTTGCAGTGGTGTGCTTTCAAACTGCTAGGTTGGCAAGAGCTGGGACAGAGCAACTGGAGCTCACCCCGTTGTGCGGATTCGAACCGCTGACCTTCTTATCAGCAAGCCCAAGAGGCTTAGCGGTTTAGACCACAGCACCAACCGAGGCTGAGCGGACAATGCGAGCATGAAGCAGGCAACTGTGTTTACTCATGTCCATTGAATTGATATCTAATACAGTCTCCGGATAAGCAATAATTGATAGAGCAGGGCAGCAGGGAGGGGATGTTCACAAAACGATCAGGACTTACGCTCCTTGAGGCGGAGGGGGGAAGGGATACAGGAAAGCTCTGGGCTTTAAGGAACAATTTATCTTGTGCTTGTAAGGGGCAAAGCAGATGTGACAGGTGATAGACCTGTGTGTCAGAATGATCTCACTGCACATTTCGATAGGGCAGGGGATAAAGGGGATAAATGGCACCAGCACAATACGGGCTGGATCGAGAGGGTGCTGAACTTCACCCATGCTGCCTCCCCAATACACTCTCTCTCTCCAGATGTTTTCTTCCTGATGGGGCTTCTCCTTCCAGGGTAATGAAGCATGCTGACATGCAATGAGAAAGTTGCACCTTTCACCTGTGGCCTTTAATTCCTGAGACACTCTAACAGTTATCGGACGGCGTACTCGTACATCCCAACACACTGTTTAAGAATTACTGGCTTTGGGATTAGGTGTTCCTGCTGAGCAGCTTATCAGTTATGTGGGCTTCAGCCTGTTGAAGGGCATTCATGTCTACTTCATAGGTAGCAATTTGTCCTAGCACCTGAGAGTAACAGGAGCCTAGCCTGTGATAATGAAGACCTAGAATCATATGTCTACAGGGATGAGAGAATATGAGAATTTCAGTTTCTCCCAGTTCCTAATTGTTCTGTCCCCTACATTTCCAGGTCAGATGGACAGCATATAAATAAAAAAATTGTTGATGATGAACAGGT